CCGGCACCTCCACCCCTAACCGATGCGGATGGCCATACGCGGTACATTGTCGAAAAGGTGTTGTCGCACAAGAAGAGAGGACGGCGCACGCAGTACCTAGTGAAATGGAAGGGCTACCGAGATGCCACCTGGGAGCCGGAGGAATACTTGATGGATGAAGCAGGAAACGCTATTATTCCGCTGAAAACCTACCTGCACCGTTTTTCATAAATTGCTATTTAATTGGCAGCCACAGTTGTATTGCTAGTTCCTACATGTTGCAATAGAAATGTAGCATTCTGCATGATTAGGATAGTGCTTCCCTGCCAGCCAGGCGTTATTTGCAGAGGACATGCACTGGATCTTGAGTTCATCAGTGTTGTTTTCGGCTACCATGCATTCCACGTATCCATGCATGATCATTAGTTACCATAACTGTTCCTTCGAATTGGTACTGTTCTGACAGTTGAGAGGGGGGAATGGTGTAACAGATTCACTGTTACTACTAACACTAGGAATAGGATACACTTATCACCTGCTATTATCACGCTGCTGCTGTTAGGTGTTATGTCCATCATTGCTTGTTCATGTATATAAGAATGCATTATGGCAAGGATCATGGCTTATTCCAAGAATGACTACTGAAGTTAGTTGGACTGTTACACGTCCTCCACGCCACTATCATCCCTGGAGGAAGAGCTCAAAACATTAGATCCGGACAGCTGCTGCACGATAGTTTGTTCCACTTCTCCTCGTCTCGAATCACGCTCACAGCCAGTGCGTGACTGTCACCTCGCCGCTCTGAAGCTGAATGAGACTGCCCGCGTGTTGGCTGTAAGTGGTATTCCCGTTCGTCGCAATAATGCGGCTTCTTTGTTTGAGACAAAAAGGCAACGCCATAACAGTGTCCTTTTTTCAAATCGTCTCTTGCGCTTGTCGTACTTCCTGATCAGCACCCACGCGAGCCGCTGGTGCTTGTACATGCAGCCCAGTGATAGCTTCCGCTTGATTTAGCACCTGTACTGCACCTAAGTCCTAACCCCTTGCACCATGCTTTTCGGCTAGTTTCCTGAAAGTCTTTTGCACGAGAGTTTCACTCAGGACTTGGTGTTAATTTTGATTAGCACCTTTGCCCGGTCCTCTGTGAGCTTGAGAGTGTCCGCTGGATTGGTCTCACTTTCTGAAGATGTCGACATGAGGTGCAATTTCTTCGTCGGCGATTTGCTGGTGATAAATCTTCACTAGGCGCTGTACTGTGCCAGCACTGAAATTCAAGCTCGCGAAGCGCTTTTTCAGTTTCTCTATGCCTCCCCGCAATAAACAATCCTTGCCACTAGACAGCTCGAAGTAGACAGAAACTGCATTCCCCATCGCTCTGAAATGCGAATATCCCGACCTATTTTACGAACTCGAGCAGAGACTGCGTCGTTTCCTTCGCTGACGGAAGTGTTCGTCGGTGGCATCTCTGTCAAAAAGACTCAAACGAACCGATCGCAACTTCTGTGGTGGTTTGTGCTGCCATGTCGTCGGATGCAATGATCAATGGTTATGTTTGGATGGTGAATCGGTGGTTCTATGCCGTATGACACAGGCAGAACACTGAAAAATCAAGTGGGAAGATAAGCGCCAATTTTAACTTGGCGGACTAAGTAGTATCATTCAGATCGTGTCCACTATCTGTTGCTATAACTTATAAGTGAAAATCTGTGGGTGCACATCCAGTACATTTCGCAGATTAGCGTGCTTCTCTTGTGACGGGCATATACATGGTACACGATGTGTATGAGTGTACACGTGTGTGTGTGTTGTAGGGGGAGGGGTGTATGTGCATGTTTGTGTGTACATGTATATTATTATATTATTAATATACGCATTCCCGCGTTGAAGTGTAGCAGCAGTATGCTGCGTCCACAGCTTCGCCTATGCAGAATGGCTTGGGTGAGAGGAGAGGGGAGAGAAAGCAACAAGGCAACCAACATCTATGAAATTGGTCACAATAACATGAAGAGAACCAACCTACATATGCATGATTGCACAAGAATGGAGAGGACCAAATATAATGGCTTTAATCATTGTGCCACAAAAACGGTACACAGGAGATCTGACGACAATGTAACGAAACATAAAACTCAGTTACTCAATACAGGTTCCACTAAATTACAAGAGAACAACGCTACAACGTTAGAATTGCTGCTAAATTATCGCAAGTGTAGAGAACGAGTCCAATACAAATGAAAACCATGAACAGACTGTCCCGAAGTAGTTATTTTGGGAACAAATTGTACTTGTAATTGTACAAGACTTCGTGAGTATTCAACTCAAATTCGTGTTCCGTCAGCGTCAGTATCAGCAAGTACATGTATATATTAGGGCTAAAACGATTATATCGGTTATCCATCTAATTGATTTTAAAGCGGGATTCACAGAAGCATTTTTGGGATGCGAAACCGGGAAATCCCCATATCGCAGCCATCTCGCAGCCCGCGCAACTGCGGCAACTGGGCCATCGCAGAAGTTGAGCTCGGCTCAACTTTTGCGATGCGACAAGCGATTTGGCGTACGATTCTGACCTTTTCTATAGCAAAGTTGTACAAAGGTTCAAGAGTTGAGGCAGGCAAACTACCTCCCCTAGAGGACCTGCTCCGGCCTCTTGGGGTGGAGGATCGTCCACGTCCAGGCATGATCAGACAGATTACACTAAAGAAACGAAGAGAAAAGCACGCAGCCATGCAGCGAAAATTTGCAACTGTACAGCAGCAGTGCAATAACAAAAAGAACACTGTCTTCAGACCAGCATGCACCTTCATGTGCATGCTGCAACTCCGCACTGTGCAGCCAGTGTGTACTGCACTCCCAGCACAGTCCGTGAACTCTGGACTGTGCACTCGCGTTTCGAAAAGAACAGCATTTTCTTGTTCACTTCGTTGCTCTCATCAACAAGAAATGAGGCATAAAACTGCCGCAAACTACAAAGAAAAACGTAGGGATTTCTCGCGCGGGTGCAAGCTAGAAACGGCGAGTAAGTGGAACTGGTCAGAATCAGCTTCAAAGGACATTACGTTGACTATGTCGTATGTTGCCCAGTTGCAGTGACTGTTGCACATTCTATGATGCAAGAACACAGCGAGCGCGCTGCGATGAGCAGATTGAGCCTTTGTACTGAAAGTTGTACATGAAGTTCAGCGTTTCGAATATTCGAATTCTGACTCACATGTTCGAGTATTCGGTGCAGCGAAAAAAATCGAAGGTATTCGATCAATATTCGTTGCAACTTTGGTTAAGAGTACTGTGTGTAGATGAGAACAACTCACTTCATAGTGAGTTGTGCATTACATGTACACTCAATATAGATATTATCTGATGGATACTGCATAGGAATGTCTGGTCATGTGTGTTACCTGCGCACAGGACGGTGCCCTTCCTGTTCATCACGCTGCATCGAAAGGACATGTGGAAGTCGTCAAGTATCTACTAGAACTCCAACCCGATACGCTCTCTGTGAAGGACAAGGTAAGACAACATACCATGCAACTTGTGTGGCGCTAAAAATTCGAAGATCAATTGAATAAGAAGCTAAGATAACTCGAATCATGCAAAACTGAACGTCTCAGAAAAACTGTACTGTACTTCAACTATGACAATTTGGATGCACAATGAGCAGCAGTTGGGGTTGGTTCATATATCGCCGGTATACGCCGGGAGCCACCGGCGGTGAGCCTCTTGCAACCTCTCCCAGTGAATTGCAATGATGTGAATCAGTGCAATTGTAACAAAATCATACTGTGGCTAGTCGCAAGGGTCCAGCGGCAAAGTTGGGCAGGCTCAACTCTTGCAATCCCAATCTGCTCCGGCAGTCAATCATGTGGTTTTGCTCCTACCTCCGAAAGGATGCCAGATTATGCTCAAAATTTTCAACCACCCAATTATGCCAATAATTATGCCGGCATAATCCGCCGGTGCCTATCCGGCACCGATCCCGTACAATTTTGACCAAAAGTGGTTTGTGAACCGTTTGTCAAATTTTCAAACCAAGATTAGTCCTAAATTTTCCTAAATGGAAGCTAAGGTTGAGATACATTAGCCATTCTTGTAGTCGCATCAATGTGGCAAATAAAGTCAGCATACCAACCCGTCCTTCCCGAATGATCGGCTTGACTGAGGTGCAACTTATGAGACAAAATACAATTGAAAGAAATAGAAATATGAAGGATGCATTCGCAAGCTCTTGTGACTTCATCAATGTTTGAATGCAGAACTTCGACACCACCGCTTACTAGACTGCAATGAATAGTATAGAAGTAGTTTCATGATCTGATTCTGCACTACTTTGTAATGAATTTGGTACTACAGCAGTACACGAACCGTATACAGGACAAACCGTGAGGTGGATCACCGCCAGTGCTTCCCGGCGCCGATTTGGCTTATGTGAACCAACCTTAACAAGCAGCAGTTTCACACGACAATCGTTTTCGCAGCATAAAAAAGGACGGCTCATCAGGTATGCAAAGATGAACTCAGATGGAGAGCCAAGGATAAATTTATAGCACTGAAAGAAAAGGACCAAAGAGCTACAAGATACGCTAATGTCCACTGACACCACCAGTTACTTGGAGCAGACACTTTCTTTACCAATCACTCTGCCACCAAAGTCACAACATCTTCGTTCGTTTTTTGGAGCATTTTATGTCGCCATGACGCCAAGACCTTAGGTCAGCTGAGGAAAAAAAGCCTCACCATCACTATGTATCTAGTAATGACTGAGTACGAGGTCTTTTATTTCCTATACTGACCAAGTACGAAGTCAATATTAGATTTATCACGACTGACCAAAGCATGATTTCAATCGCTAAAAAGGAGTCGAATATAAGCGGTCAATATAGCCTTAACTAATGAGTGAAATATGCAGGAATATTTGACTGCTTAGGTATGGCAAATATCTATGTGAGTCTAAGGGAGTGATAAGCTCCTATATTTTTTAATTTTTTAATTTTTTTACTATTGAACACTCGCTGCATGATGAACTAAAATGAGGAGAAGAACTCGACACAATGGTACATATCCAGCAGGACGGAGTGGGTGGGACCTGTGAAGCTCAGCCAACCCAGGATCTCGGCATCACAGCTGCACATGTGCACCAAAGGAAACAAAATGGGGAGTGGAAGGGCGGGGAGGGGAGCAGGAGAGCAAGAACTCTAAGGGTAGGAAAGAGAGGAGCGAGGGGAGGAAACCAGGAAACTTGTTATTCCAAGATATGAGTGCAAACAAGTACGCAAACAAGTACAAATATAGCAGTATCAAGATCATGATGCTGAGGCGAAGGTAAAGGCTGATTGCCGTGCAGATTTGACGAAAGATTAGAGTGAGAATGGAGGAGAGTCAGAGAGAGATAAAGACGAATGGATTGGGAGTTGGATGAGAAGGGAGTGCTCCGAGAACATAAACAGGGTGGTACTGGCAGTAGCCTAGGGGGCGATGTCCGTGGCCAATGACCAACCCGACCGTTTCAGGTAGCGGTAGGTCAGAACCTTGAACTGCTGCATCCTTTTGGCAGACGGTGCATCGCGGAGGAGAGTGGCTGGCAGTTCATTCCAGGCTTCGATGAGGCACTCCGGGAAAGAGCGCAGCGCAACATTGCACGATCTGGCAGGTAGGGCTGTCTGGAGTTGAAGCTCGTGCGCAAGGTTGGCTGCCGAGCGACGACGTGTGGCAGGCGCGATGGCGGGTGCGATGGCTCCGGCTGGGCGTGTCGCTGCAAGAGCTGGTAGGCTTGCGATATAATGGAGCTTGTACAGAGTTGTGAGGCTGGCCACACGGCGCCACAGGGACAGAGTGTCCATTGCAGCCCCTGTCCCAATCAGGGTGAGGGCACGATGCTGGACTTGGTCCAGCTGTGAGAGATGGGTAGCCGCAGCTCCCATCCATACAAGTGGGCAGTACTCCATTAGAGGCCGAATGAACCCCCGGTATGCTGTGGCCCGGCCGGGTGGGTCCAGGACATGGCACGCCTTCCGGAAGAAACTAATTCGCTGTGTGGCACGCACTGCAGTTCCTCGAAGATGCTCCGAGTATGGAAGATGGGCATCAAACGTCACTCCAAGGAGTTTCAGCCGCGAGCATTCCGGGACCGCTGTGCCGTTGAGCTTGATGGGTGGTGTCTCCCAGGGTCTGTGGTGGCGGGACACAGTCATGGCCTGTGATTTCGTTGGCTGAAAGTGACGCGCCACTGAGCACCCCATTCAGCAAGTGCATCCACATCAGCTTGGAGGTTGCGGCACACTTCTGTCACAGCATGTGGCATTGGGATGTGGCCATAAAGCGTGGTGTCATCTGCGTAAACAGCCGGAGTGATCCCTTCCGGTAGGACGTCGCAGGCGTCATTCACGTACAGCAAAAACAGTGTGGGCCCAAGGATGCTCCCTTGTGGGACCCCAGCATCAATCTTGTATGGTTCTGAAGATGCTCCGCCGACTACTGCCTGCAACTTACTGTCATACAGGTAGTCAGACAGCCAGTTGAGGAGGGGACCAGTGATGCCGTCTGACGCAGCCTTGTGGAGCACGCCTCGGTGTGAAACTTTGTCGAATGCTCCTGCTATGTCTATAGCCAGCACGCGGACTGCGCCACCACGGTTGGCTTCAGAGACCCAGGAGTGGTTGAGAGACGTGAGAAGGTCAGATGTGCTGAGCCCCTGCCGGAATCCATACTGGTGGATGGACAGGGCCTTTTCATGCTCAAGATGATTGATTATGGCAGTGTTGACAATCTTCTCCATGACTTTGGAGACAACAGATAACAAGGACACAGGTCGGTAGTTCTTAACAGCAGAATGAGATTGATTATTGTGTATCGGGACCACACGGGCTACTTTCCAGAGCGAGGGCTGGGCATGGCACCGAAAACAGAGTGAGAACAGCTTGGCAATTGGTGCAGCCAAAACCTTTGAGCACAGCTTCAGAAATCTGGCAGGAATGCAATCGGGTCCGGTAGCATTGGTTGGATCCAGCTGGCGGAGCTGGCGCTGGACTGTCGCTTCCCGAAATCGGACAGTTGTCAGGGCAGATGTACACCTTGGACGAAGGTCAGGAAGGTCAGAGTGCTGTAGATCTTGATCACACAGACTGCATTTGCTCGCAAAGAATTCTCCAAAGCAAGTAGCCTTTTCCTGGTTGGTGACATATTCTCTGCCCTGGGTATTGCGTAGGACAGGGATAGACGAGCTGCGGCCAGAGCCTGCAGCTTGCTTCAGGAGTGACCACCATTGCTTGTTTCGCAGTGATCCATGTTTGAGCCGATCTCGGATGCGGGCAGATTCTGCCACACGCTTTCCACATCGGAGGCGAGCGACACGCATGAACGCCCAAACTTTAGCATGACACGTTGAGTGCCCACAACGCATGCCGCCCACGTTGAGCGTCGCGCATGAATGAATGTCGCGTTGAGTGACACGTTGTATGACACATAGAATGCCACGTCGCATAGAGTACCATGTGAGCATGCACCAAGGCGTGTGACCAACATGGAAACCGTGATGTACAGCGCACGTGACTGTAGCCAGCAGCAAAGCATGAGCATGCAGTAAAGCACCAGCAATCATAGCAGCATAGTTTGAGTGGTAGCACGAAGCAGCCGCGTGCACCCATTAATCTGCATTATTACTATAATGCTACATTAACTACAACACACAGCAGCTTGCGGTTAGGAGGGTGCTGGCCAGCGAAGTGAGAGGCTACAGAGAGAGCAGGATCTTGGCGGAGCCAAGAGGATAGTCACGTCCGAGGGACGAAGAACGAGAGCCCTGAGTAGCCGGAAATGAGCATGGCCCATTGTGGCCAGCAAGCCTCGTACCGAAGCAGCCGTGAGCAGGGTTAAAGTCATAGACACTGCCGGAGCAGGATCTTGGCGGAGCCAAGAGAGAGGTCAGAGAGAGGTCACTGCCGGAGCAGGATCTTGGTGGAGCCAAGACAGGGATCACTGCCGGAGCAGGATCTTGGTGGGGTAACCATCACCTACAGTGGGCTACGGTGGGCCACCGGGTAGTTGAGATGGTGGTGGAGCTGAACGTGTCCGTCTTGGAATTGCCGGTGGCACATGCACGTTGCCCCGCTGTAGCCACTGTCACATTAGCAGCCTTGCTAGCGTTCGGCCTTCGACTGCTTAAGTGTGGCAATGATTCATGTCTCGTTGATATGGAGACGAGGCAAGGAAATAGAAAGGTAGATAGACACAGAAACAGACAGGCAGGCAGACAAACCCAAACAGACAGATGATTCAGGGTCAGCCGGGTAGACACTGCCGAAGCAGAATGTTGGCGGAGCCAAGTATCTACAAGAGTCTGCGTCCAAGGGACGGCGACCGAGGGCCCTGAGTAAAGAGAGGGGTCACTGCCGGAGCAGGATCTTGGCAGGGCCAAGAGAGAGGTCAGACAAGAGATATACGTAGACACTGCCGGAGCAGAATGTTGGCGGAGCCAAGTATCTACGAGAGAGGATTCAGGGTCGGCCGGGTAGACACTGCCGAAGCAGAATGTTGGCGGAGCCAAGTATCTACAAGAGTCTGCGTCCGAGGGACGGCGACCGAGGGCCCTGAGTAAAAAGAGGGGTCACTGCCGGAGCAAGATCTTGGCAGGGCCAAGAGAGAGAGGTCAGAGAAGGGTCACTGCCGGAGCAGGATCTTGGCGAAGCCAAGAGAGGGGTCACTGCCGGAGCAGGATCTTGACAGGGCCAAGAGAGAGATCAGAGAGGGGTAACTGCCGGAGCAGGATCTTGGCGGAGCCAAGGGAGGAGTCAGAGAGGGGGCACTGCAGAGAGAGATCTTGGCGGAGCCAAGAGAGGGACGAGGACAAAAAGCCCCCCTGGGTAAGTAGGCAATAAATGTGTGTGCATTGAGACAGCATGTGGTAAAGAGGATACTGACAAGAGTTCAAGCAACACGGATGAGAACCAGCAAGACAGTTACCTTGATGATCTCCTTGGCGGTGTCCCTCATTCCACACCAGATAAATGCTCGTGCAGCAAAGGGAGCTTGCCCAAATAGAAGGACGAACTTTGCTGCGGTGATTGGCTAGACCATGGTGTCAGGTCGCTCCGCAGCTGTGGGAGCAAAGGTTCTGGAGTCATCCAACTTGGTCCAGGCAGAGCATTGATGGCATTGAAGTTGACTGGCAGGTGTGATGCTCGAAACAGTAAATGGTACTGGACACAAATCAAGTAGAGGGTGCAGATGAGTGCCATGACCACAGAAGAACTGAACGGCTTGTGCCAACCTTCAATATGTTGATAGAGTATGGTGCCACCAGCTCAGGGTCGTCCTTGACTGAGGTTGAGAGGTGCAGCATTATGTGAGATGATCTGAGATGTGGCCTTGACAAGGTCAGACAGGCAGGGCATAATAACGTACGGGTGGGTAGCGAATGTGAGTTGGCCTAGAAGGCAGTTCGTGCTTGAGGACGCAACGCCTGTCAGTGTGGCAGAGACTAAATGACGTAGGGCCAGAGAGGTTGAGGTTTTGGAAAACTACATAAATGGTTGGACAAGTGTGGCCCAAGCAAATCTGCTGTTGGACTGAACACTTGAATACTTGTCAATTGCTGGTTGTACACACTGGTTGGGATGGCAGTGTGAACTGCAATAGTGCTAACCCCCGTACTAACTGGAGGAGACTGCAACAGCATGGGCATAGGCCAGCCTGTTAGCACGTGGGTGGTGCACCTCAAAAGTGACAGGCACTAGCAGTGATTGATTGATGCACTGTGGATGTGTGTGTGTGGGAGTTCCTTATCCTAACAATGACAAGTAGACCAAGTAATAGTAGTACTTGATGGATTGATGACAGGGCTGTGCCTGGGTGCAGATGAAGAACTGGATGCTGCTGGTCAAAGCATGCTACAAGTATGTACACAGTACTAGTAACTTGGTGTGGAGTTGCATAGCCTGGGGTTGCAGAACTTACTTTGAAGAAGAAAGATAGACTATCGCTGGCAAACAGCTTCCTTCTGGCAATGCTAGGGCCAGGGCGTTGTAATCTCTCGGCCAGCACAATGCCTAGCCCAGACGACTGCATGGGGCTAAACGGTTGTGTGTTAAATGGACCAGCTGTCATACCGTCCTCGCAGCAGCGTTGGAGACAGTCAGAAATATATCAGCTGCCACAGACTTGGCTCAATGATGTCCCACTTCAGTGATGGGTCGGCAGCAGCCTTGATGCGGAATTGATAGGACAGCAACTCCACTGTCCTGTGCGAAGCAATGTCGACCATGATCTGGACCAAGACGGTGGAGGCCTCAACCCACGTCGCAAGTTTATGAACATGCCTACTCTTGCTGCGAGTAGCGCTGTCTTCCACCATCCGCAATGGGTTCCCAACTGACATTTAAAATCTAAGCACATTCTGTGTGAGCGGGCGGCACAGAGCAAGACACAGTGGGCAGGAGCCCACTCAACTCGACGGACTGACCTGTCACGACCCGCTCACGAACTTTAGTGCCCAGGTGTACAGCTACAGCGAAAGACTTGCTGCTCCCTAAGCTGGCTGGGTGAGGGCCCTGGTGCAGATGAGGTTGTGAATCCACGGCCGCCAGACTTGTAGGTAACGTCTCTGAAACCTTCGAAGCAATCGTGGAGCGCAAGGTCTCCGGAGTTAAAGCTGACGTTGATGACGCAGACGTCGCCAATGATTCGCGTTCTCTGCTGCCTGCTCCGCTCACCCCGCTCGGGGTGAAATGGCAGGATTCAGCGTGGTGAAGTACACTGAAACAGGCGGTCGGCGAGGGCAGCTTTCCTGCCCGAATTATTCAAACCGAGGAGCGAGAGTTCGCTGCGGAGACGCATAACCGTCATGGCGCGAATTTCACAGACAGTGAAGGCAGCCATGGCTCACGACAACAAGGATGAGAACGAGGCAAAGCACAAGGATGAGAACGAGCAAAATACACACTGTGAAACACTGACACAGGCGATTGGCGAGGGCAGCTTTCCTGCCCGAATTATTCCAACCCAAGAGCGAGAGTTCCTTGTGGAGACGCAGAACTGTCATGGCGCGAATTTCACAGACAGTGAAGGCAGCCATGGCTCACGACAACAAGAATGAGAACGAGGCAAAGCACAAGGATGAGAACGAGCAAAATACAAACTGTGAAACACTGAAACAGGCGATCGGCGAGGGCAGCTTTCCTGCCCGAATTATTCAAAT